AGTGTTTAACGTGTCAAGCCCCCCTTCTGCACTGTCACGGTCCCATTACCACTAGGAGTGTTGATAAGACTGATGTAAGGTCGAAACTGAAGTCCATCCTGGATAAGAACAGCTTTTAGTAACACAAGGCAATGTGAAATTCAATGGAAAGGTCACCTATACTCATATCATTGTGGGAAAATTCTACTGCCAGTCTTTCATCACCTTAAACGAAATAAGGTGAATTCATCTCATATTTTTATTTTGCCGTAAACGGAATTCAAAATTATTAATATTCTGATTGTTTTTGTAAAATAATAATTAATGTTATGTATATTTATCTGATTTCAATAGAATTCTCTTATTCTGAATTATTCTGCAAGTTATAACTAATAAAACACCAAATTCAATAATATTGTTTTACTTTAAATAAACTTGAGTTAATAAATATCCTTATGTTAAACATAAAAGTTCTATTAGTCAGTCATAAATGTATGCGTTACTTTGAATCACTAGCGGTGCAAGTAACCAAGGTCCGTAAATGAGCGCTTTGAGACCGGGAACAGCCACTCGTCTAAAAACTACAAATCAGCAAAATGATGCAGGAAACCGTCTCAATACTGGATTTAGACCTGGAACAAAGGGCGGGATTGGGGGTTTTACATTGAATTCTACTGTAAGAGTAGAAGAGCGTCCAATTACTCAACATGGTAAATCGACTAAAGCTTTTTTATATATCGTTAAATTAGGGTTAACTGGACTTAAGACAGCAGCCAGAGGTCCTAAAAGACAGGTTGAGGACAAGTCTTACTTCTTGGGATCGTTAAGAGGAAAAATTAATGAATTAAATTTGGAAATAGCCTCTTTACACAAAAGATTTTCATCAGCGGAGGAAGAAAATGCTGATTTTGTACATTATGAACAAATGGCGGAAGGATTAGCTTTAGAAATAAAATCTTTGCAAGTAATTATTTGCTTATTAGAATATTTACGTTATAATAAATTAAATTGTAATAAGGAATTTTTATTAATACAATATGCCTCATATATTTTACTATTTT